TCTTTTATAAAAGAACGGAAACACAATGGTCTCATGAGTATCAACTTGCCAACTATTCCTTTCAAATGGAGGTGCTGATGACCTGTGAGCCAAAAGTACAGCTGTTTTGGGAAGTTCTCAAACCCTCTGTAGCTCAGGCATGTTTGTGATGTGGCCATATTGGTTTATGCCAGGTTAGGTTGTTACTTGTTTCTCATGCATAAATTGTACTTGTGTGCGTAGCTGCATAGATAAGTATGGGTGTGTATTTCCATGTGCTTGTACATTACAAATTATATTCTCTTTCCTACTCTGCAAGGATGAGAGTGGCCCACTGTGTGTGTGGACACAGGCGTTTCAAATGGTTGAATGCAGCTGTTTTGTTCTGGGGACTATTCTACAGTTTCTTTTCTCATGCAGGATTGAATCTGCCCCTTTGTGTGGTGCTGGGCTGGAGCGCTGACACAGCACTTCCCCAATACTGTGACATTGAGAAAAGCAGCCCTGAAAGGGTTATTGTGTAAACCAATCGGGGTAAAAGTCTTCATCATTCAGATGACATAGTCATCCCATAAAATTGAAGGTTCTTGTGAATGATATAATCACTTTTTAAAAGATCCTGTTATAATATTTAAAAATTTTAATGAACAGAGAAAGCTTTGGGAGTGAAATTGGCATCAGACATTAAACTAGAATGGGTGCTGGTGAATTGACAGAAACATTCACACCACACAAATGCCAGGCAATGATCATCTCCAATAAGAGATAGACTCTCTATCCCACCACCATCCCTTGATATTCAATGGAATTATCATCACTGAATCACCCACTATCAATATCCTGGGGTTACCAATGACCTGAACTTCAAATAGTGGCTACAAGAGCAGGTCAGAGGCTAGGAATGCTGCAACAAGTAATTCACCTCCTGACTCCCCAACGGCTGTCCACCATCTACAAGACACAAATCAGGAGCGTGATGGAATATTTCTCCATTTGCCTAGATAGGCACAGCTGCAACAACACTCAAGAAGGTTGACAACATTTAGGACAAAACAGCTGGCTTGATTGATAGAGGGATTGGATGCGACATAGTGCACACTACCACTACTGAGTATCAATCTATAAGATGCACTGCAGAAATTCAAAGATTCTCAGACAGCACCTTCCAAAGTCATGCCCACTTCCATTGAGAAGGACAAGGGAAGCAGGCACATGGGAACATCAGCACCTGCAAGTTCTCCTCCAAGCCACTTACCATCCTGGTAGCATGTGGTCTGCAGCAGTTCAAGAAGGCAACTCACTACCTTCTGAAGAACAACTAGGGATGGGCAATAAATGCTGGCCCAGCCTGTGACACCCCCATCCCACAAGAGAATATATTTTGTAAAAATATAATCTGCTTGGTTCTTTTATTCAACTAAGAAGCATGTAAATAACATGCAGATTTGGAAAAAAAAATCCAAGGATGACCAGAAGAACAGGAGAGTAGAAGAAAGGCGATCGTCAGATCAGCAATGATACGACTGAATGGCAGAGCAGACTCAATGGGCTGAAATGCCTATTCTCACACCTGTTTCTTAAGACCTTTTTCCTAACCCATACATTGAGAGTGTAAATGGAAAATCTTATCCCCTTGAGATATACACAGTACACTCTTTGATCATTGGCACTGGAAAGGCGGTGCGCTATGAGCCCATTCTGTGTACCTACATGCAGACACACACGGCAAGGTACTCCTCCTGGTCAACCCTTGCCAGACGTCAAGTTCTTGGCTTATGCAAGTTGCAATATGACTTAATGTTTAGATCTTATCGTTATAACACTCATTTTTGGGTCTACTTGGAAAATAAACCAATTCATAGTGCAGGCATTTCCTCACAGCATGCAGAACATGACTGACCGTGTTACGTGAGGTTCAAATGCCTGCATTGTCTTGGAAACATGGTCACCATAAACTAGCCAGAGGATAAGCTTACCATCCAGGTAAGTGCAGGCTTTCAAAGCTGGAGGGCCAGTAAGAGTCTGCCTTCTCCCCAACCTTTTAAACTAAAAGATGTATGAAAGAGACACGTGAACATGGAGACAGAACAGAGCCACATTACCCTGCAGCTGCACCTAAAAGGCAGAGAGAAGTGGTCTCAGCCTTTTATTTCAAACACTCATTTTTATGAATAAACAGTCACAAACACATTGATTCTGTACAGAATCAATCAAGGAAACAAAAATATTGGAGTTTGACTCTAGCCAAAAAAACCAATAGGTATCTCTTACTTGTACAAGACCATATTTACAGGCAACCCTAACTCACAGCTTCCCCTTTTTAGGTTGATTAAGCTAATTACACCAAGTAAACTAAAAATACAGGAGAATGCCTCTTAAATAGAGTTTCTGTAGGGAAAGAAAACATTGGAAAGGAAATTTGGTTGCAGGGTCTGATTATGAATTCTAGTCCCCTGTGGTGTCCGTGGTCACAAACTGCCAATGGAGAGCGTGTGCTCCCTCTCCAGGGACCCTTTGGGTGGTGCAGACATATCTATGGATTTCTGTTTTCAGTGATTTCTTACAAAACAGCATGAATTGAGCAGAGTGCCATACCAAAAAGAAGCTGTTGGTCACTCAGGGTTTTACAGTCAAGGGCCTACAACACATTGAGGAAGAGCTGCAGAGTGTTCTGCTCAGTCTGGTCTTTGAGGACACAAGAGAGACATTTCAGGTCAGGATAACAAACATTTATGTTGGTTCCTAGAGCCATAAGACTGTGAAGGAAGAGCTAATAATTTGGGCATTTCAGCCTTGAGATAAAGGCTTTGGAATATATACAAGATGGTGCATATTTGTGGGAGATAAATCCAAATGGCTGTTTCAAAATAAACATTGAGTACATCATCAAAAATTTAAAGAAGTGGTGAACTGCAAATTTGGGATTAAATTAGATTCACTTCACAGGAAGACACAAAATGAACATTTGCCTAAAGTAGTGTGATCAAGACTACACAAAATAAGGGGTATAATCCACTGCACCTGTCAATACAGCATTTACTTCAATTCTGCTTCCACAAGATTTGAATTTTGCTTCATGACCTGATATTTGGTCACATCCATGATATGAGTGTGCTATATGCAAAACTGGAATTGTTTCACAATTGACACAAGTAAACATCAGTCTTCATTGCAAGTTTTTTCTGAGAAACCAGTACAAGTCAATGTTTACGTACAGGAAAGCTATTAAATTAGAGAAATACAGCACTTCATTGAGAACAACGTCTTTGATATGCAGTGCAGCCACCAAAATATGAGCAATTCACTTTGTCCAGCATTGCAGTCTCCTTGAATTTTTTTCTTAATGATCTTCTTCGCACAAACACTTTAAATGGCACATTGGCCTACTGTGATAAATTACAACCTGCACCCCATTTGCAACCTTCACAGGTTGAATGGCTCCATGTTTGATTATGATAGGCTGGTAACTGGTCTGCTGAACATGCTTGATTGGTCAAGCCTGGATGTGGGTTCAGAACAAGGTACTAGAAGCTGAGGAAGGGTCACCGGACCCAAAACGTTAACTGTTTTTCCTTCACAGATGCTGCCAGACCTGCTGAGCTTTTCCAGCGATTTTGTTTTTGTACTAGAAGCTGGAGCTGGGGTAAACAAAAGTACAGTCATTTTGTGATTGCAGAGATATTTTATGACTGTTGTAAGTAAACCTGCTGCACACTTTGAAAACTAGAAACACCTCTGCATAGTTCTGCAATACACAAAATCTAAAAAAAAAAAGTGGGGACTAGAACATGTATTGCTTGTTATGTTAAACTTTTGCCACCTTTAGAGAGGAAATATTCATCCTTTGCAAGGAGTTATGAGAAGGAGATGTGGTTTTTTTTAAAAAAAAAGAGGCTAAACATAATGGTGCAGGGCTGGATGAACACAGCAGGCCAAGCAGCATCATAGGAGCCTAGGCTGAACATAATATTTTTTTTGTAGTACAATCATTTGCATAAGATACTAAAAACAGAGGTGTCAGTTGTCTCAGGTTATTCTGTATGTGAAATTATGGGTTAGATAAAATAGACCAGATTTTGCTCAAAATATTAGCATATGGACAATATGCAATTGTTCATATTAGCTATTAACCTGTAGCAAGAAAGAGACCCTGTGAATTTCAGATTACTCCATTATTCTGGTCAATTCACACAATAACAGTTTACAACATTCCCACATCATTAAAATTTCCATTCTTTACATAACCTTAGTCTCCTCTTTAGGCAGTTGAAAATTTAAGTTAATATCTTGTTTATTGACAGTACTTCAAGTTGCTTAATAAAAATAAGTAAACAAGATTCAAACTTTGCCCAATAGACTACCTCAATATTTGCAACACCTTCTGTCAAGAGCGTGAAAATCTCCACATCACTTCCTTTAGCTACAAGCTACTGAAAACACCACCTCTACTAACACTGATCCACAATTAACTAACAGGAAGAGCATTTGAACAAAGAATCAAACAATTACATAATGTCCCCTGAGGAAGAGCAGTTTAATGAGGCAATCTACTTAAGAACCCAAATCAATAATTTCTATCTTATGGGATCCTCTGCAACAGTGAAAATGTCCCCAATTCTGGGCCAGAAAGTTCATATCCAGTCCCACTTCAAAATGTGATCACCACAGAGGTGCATCATTAACACAGGTCTAAGCAGGTTAATTTTTACAAAAAACGCAAGAATTTGTCACAATCACAGCTTGAACCTTGGGCAGCTGAATTCTACTTAGTAAACAGGGGCTCCTGGGCAGACATGTATTTTCAAAGTTCAATTTCTATTAAAATAAATATTGCTAAGCACACTGGCCCAGTGTGCTGTTTAGTTCTCCAGTACTCTTCATTTAGCTTGTGTTGCCTGGTATATTTATAAGAAATTACTTTGTTTAAATTGTGCAATTTACTTAATTGGGATTTAATCAGCCAAAGCTGTTTATTTGTTGCTGTTCATTATTACTTGCACCTGAGCTCAACTCCTGTTCCATTTGTGTATTTTGTATTTGGATTCTGTTCAATTTGACTTGATCATCTGGGAATTATTTTCTTCTCAGAGTAAAGGTCCATGTTTACACCCATAACGTAATTTTGGTCTACTGTATGCCTGCTGGTATATTTTTCCTTGTTATTCGATTGTTAGGTTTTAGTTTCTCAAAAAAGGGTTTGATCTGATCTTGGAAGGAACTGTTGAGTGATTATAATTTTGAAAGTGGTTGGGGTTATTGGAAAATTTGTGGTAAAGCAGGATAGTGATTTTGTTTGTGCTTGGACAGCAATATAAGTCTGACCCCTACTTTTATTACATTAATAGATAGATTCCAAAAGGGTGAAAGAATCTCCCTTTCTGTAGGGTAGGCCTCTGCTTGGTCTTACTCTTCCTACTGATAGGCTAAACCCTCTGATTGCTATACAACCTGAGAACTTAAGCTAAATTTAAGAATTCACCAGACTGTTGCATCTAATAGTATTTGGAAACAAATGCTTGAGCAAGTTATGGATAGGGTGAAGATGCAGGATTTATGTGACAGTTGATCTCTTGTTCTGTGCTTTACTAATTATTTTGCAACTTGAGCTGACTAGGTTTGCAAGTAGAAATTGAGACTATGTAAGTGGTAAATGTTTATAATAATCTATGGGGAAGATGGTGGAGTAAAACAAGAGTTGTTTGGAAATGCAGTTAATTTTTTCTTTAATGCAGATGGGATCTGATGGACTAAGTGTGTTACATAGGAACAGAAGGAGCCCATTCAGACCATTCAAGCCTGTTAGAGTTGAGACAATGATCAACCATAGCCTATCTACCTACCTTGGTTTCATAACATTTAACACCCTAAATTAATATTTTTTTTAAAAACTAGCAATCTTAGTTTGAAACATTCAGGTCACTTCTAGTCTCAACAGGTTTTTGTGCAGATATCTGGCAGGATAGTTCAAGATTTTCACTGCCCTTTTTTTGTCAATCAATGCCCCCGGCATCAACCTTGAACAGCCTTACCTCAAATTTGAAAGTTCCGTTTCCTATTTCTGGATTTCCCATGAGAGGAATGAATATCTCCCATGTATTCACTTCTGTTAATTACCTTTACTATCTCAGCTATGCTACTCCTATGCTCATCAATTCTCAAGGCAACACCTAACCTTGCATATATAACTGGTTCTCATAATTTAATAGTTTTGTTATTTATGAATCACATCATTTTGAGCTATTGAATCTTTCTTTCCAGATGGTCAAGCAACATCTAATATTTTAAAGAGTAGTTTTGATTCTACTCTACATTTTGTTTGTGCCTGCACTGGATTTAGACCCCCATGACCTTTTAGTGGAGCAATTGGTCTTTTGTGTGAGTATAAAATATTTGGGATTGTATTTGATCACTGCCTTCCTCCTAATTTGAGGTATTTTCTCTTGCTTTTTCAGGTCCTTCCTGTGCCACTATTTGTTTGACGCAGTGGCTGGTCAGGTTAATGTTACCACCCTGTTTCTATTAGTAGATAATCCAAAAATTACTTGGAGCTGATCCATCTTCCAAAGACTTGAAAAGGAATGATGTAGTTGCCCTACTTGACAATCAGCTAATCAGGCCAGGAACCATGCTAAGCAGCAAATGTCTGAAATTGCCAAGTTTTGACTTACAACTTATTGAAGGCTATACTTAATGGTTGTTCCCTGTGATGAAAGGACAAGACTCCCAGCGCAGCAACCAGATTGAATGAGTCCACTAATGTTCTTCGATACCTTAGTGCCAATCAGAAAAATGAAATTGTGGGCTAGACATTTCTAAAGATAAAAATACGTAAACATCTGAAAGACTACAAAAAATGTACCCTTTTGTTTTTTATCACCAGAGATAAAATAATTATTTATATGTTACATGTGAAAAGCAAATGTTCTACCTACAAATACTTGTCAATTGATCAGACAGGAAATTGAGAAAAACATTGACTTGCCCAATAATAAACGATTCTCCAAGATGATAAAGTGATTGGAATCTATCCCTGTGCCAATTCACAAGGAGACAGACCAAGTGCTGGAAGGTGGGATAAGGCTGGAGGGTTCATGGTCAGTTGGTGTGGATATGATGGGCTGAATGGTCTCCTGGCCTGCAACAAATTTTGATATTTTGTTTCTACTTCGTTGAGAGAAGTATTCAATTTATGTTGAATTGGGTCAATGTACTGTGAGCTAACTGTGAGGCTTTCCAAGTTCAATTCCTTTGGAACACTATAAGCCATCAGGAGGAGGAGATCTTCAATCTCCCCATATGTCTCGGATTCCAACCCAGGCCTTGGAGGTAAGGATAACCTGCTAACCCAGTTCATCATCCAATCACATTATAGTAACGAAATAACCTCCAGACTGAAAACATGATTGATTCTATAATTGTTTCTGAAGCTGTAGGGTGAAAAATCTGCAACACATAATGCATCCAATTCTGAGAAATTATTCATAATAAATAACGTTATATGGATGGGCTAATTATTGTCACGGGTAATGTTATTTATTGTGGACAACATAATTAGAGAAGGATTGTGAGTGTTATTGGAGTGTGTTTGATGGTAGCCTGTGTTTTGCTCTCTCGCTCTCTCTCTCTAATATCTGCAGAGATACAAAAGAAATAAATAAGGAAGGAAAATAACTTATTTTCTGTTCTTCATCACGAATGATTTGGCGCATTCTCTATCCGAGTTTCCAATTTTATTTTTTTTTAATGACTTATTAATTTGGATTTTTGTTTGAAGGAAGTGAGATATTTTCAGGTTGTTGCTAGTTGCATTTGAGAATGTTATTACCAAAGATGTGTGTGGTCGTGGGACTGTAGTAGGATCATTGCATGGCCAGATTGACTGCTATTTAAATTCCACGTTAGTTTTGTTGTGCTGATAAATAGGAATTCAGACCTTGAACATACTTGATGTCAAATTTCGGAATGTTAACTGACCTAAGGAGGATCTGAGGTTATGTTGGAACTGTATGAAACATTATCTATCCCACAACTAAGGCACTGCATGCAGTTATTATCATTGCACCAGAGGAAGGATATGACTGTCCTTGAGAGGGTACAGAGGATATTTGCAAAGGCTTGGCCTGAACTGGAGAAATATAATCACAAGGGAAGATTGAATGGGCTGGGGCTGTATTGTTTGGAATGCCCCATATTGAGTAGTGGTCTAACTGAAGGATATAAGATCAGTAATGGATTGGAAGGCCAATTGTCCTTTGATTCATAACTGAGATCATAGATTTAAGGCAAGCAGTAGAAGGTTTAGAGGGGATATTTATTTCATGTAATGGGTGATGGGGATACAGCCTGAAAGACTGGCAGATACAGAAATCCTTATGACACTTAAATAAGCACTTAATGTTGTCACCAACAAGGATACAGTCCAAGCTGGAGAATGGGCCTGGGCTGAATAGCTAATTGTGGGTTAATACATGTTTTGACGGGCTGAATAGTCTTCTTCTGTGCTGTAAAGTTCTATGATTTTATATTCGGGCTGCAGACCAGCAGAAAAGCTATGAATGTTTTCCCAGTCTTGATTGGAAATTCTTTAAGCAGTGACGAGCAATCAGACCTGAGATTCACCAATCCTACCATTTCTTATTGAACTACAATTTGATGGTAGAACTGGTTGGAGCTTATTGGAAAAAATACAGATTAATTGAATCATTTGCAATGATTAGTGTGCAAACATGTATGAACACTTATCTATCGAAATACAAGAATTCTTTTTCCTGTTTGTGTTGAGGGCAGTTTGTACTTTTTAGAAGGTGGTGATCTAACTTTTTTGACCATAACGTAGACTACTTGATCTGAGCTAACATTTTAATTTCAAATAAAATTCTCATCTGTTTGTTAAATTCCAAGAGCTATGTATATTAAGGAAGTGTGAAATTTTCAGGTTGTTGCTAGTTGCATTTGAGAATTTCATCACTGAGGATGTGTGAGGTTGGAGGTGGAAGCAGAATGTATAATATTTATCTGATTCATGATGATCTGTTGGATAAATTATAACCTAGTCACGATTCAGAGCCATGTTCGGAGTCTGTTCCAACAGAATTTCTTTATTCTTGCTTTGTCACTGACAAGGCTAGCATTTGTAACCCATCCTTAACTACCTTTCAACTGAGTGCCCTCTGAAATAGCCTTGCAAGGCAGTAAAGCGTGAACCAGTTTTAGAATAGATTTGTAGCTTGGGTTGTGGATGTTGTGGTTAGTTGGCTCGCTGAGTTGGTTCGTCGTTTTTCCGCAGACGTTTCATGACGAGCAAAGCAGAGACAAGCATGGGAATTCCTAGAAGCCTGGTACTCCATGAAGAAACAAACACATAGAGCTCGACCCCATATACACTCCACTGCGAAGGAAAACCGGAAGTGAGGTAATCCAGCTCAACGGACACCAGAGTTTAAATAATAGGTGGGAAAACACAATGGCACTTCACTGGAGGCTGCATTGATGATGTTACCCAGCAGGGCAATGAAACGTCTGCGGAAAAACAACGAACCAGCTCGGCGAGCCAACCAACCGCAACAGTGAACCATTGCTGAGGGTCTGGAGCCACATACAAACCAGGTAAGGGTGACCCATTTCTTTCCAAAAGGACATTTAGTGAACCAGATGGTGGTGGTTGTTCTAGTTATCATTATTAGACTAGCTTTATATTCCAGACTTTTTTTTTTTTTTTTTTAATATTCCACCAGAACCGTAGTGGTATTTGAACCCATGTTCTCAGAGAATTAGCCTGGGCCTCTGGATTACTAGTCCAGTGGCATTCCCACTGTGCCAATGTCTTTCCCTGTATATGTAATATATCATACAAGTGTCAGAACTGTTGCTTCCCATACCCATTTCTTATTGTGCGTTGTTTGTTTCAACCCTGCATCCATACTTTGAAAATCTAGGGGTCTAGTTAGTCAGTGTATATCCCTCGCCTGGACATTCCTTCTCCTTGTCACTTAGAGAGTTTCAATCAGAAATCCTAACCTGTTTCTTATTCTTCTCCATTCCCAAACCTACTGACCCAGCTTTTGTTCCTCTGGTCTTTTCAACATAGTGGTGCAGATTTTGCTGTGGGGGGAAGGGGGTGAGGGAAGGTGGGTATTAACTGTCTCTGCTGTTAGACGTGCTCCTGCATTTTTTTAGATTTTCAAACTTTGCTGAAAGTATGATTTGCAAATGTCAATGAATAAATCCAAACCCTGGAACTGAGTGGACATGACCAGAAACACACTATCTCCTATGTCAGACTGAAGCATTGTGAAGTATACAGTGCAAGATTTGAGAAAGAAGTTGAGTGAGTGATTTGGTGAAGAAGGATTAGATTGAGAGAGAAAGGGGGGCCTTCTTAAAAATTCATTTTTAAAATCACCAATAATTAACTTGAAGGAATGAAAATCCTTCAAAATAGTTAATTTAGATTGGTAGGAAGTTGATTGACAATTTTTAAAAAAAATCACATTATAACTCATATTTAAACTTGACATAACTTTGGTGAGTTTAGTTTGAATCTATCTCAAAAAACAACAATTCTGCTCTCTGTACAATTTCCTCCTTTTTTTTGGAACATTAACTGCAAACAGAATCAATACTTTGTCAAACATTTTGTCTTGGTGTATAATCCGAGCACCTGGTGGCTCCCTAATTCCTCATCCCATTTCTACGCTGGTTGCTTCAACTTTGGCCTTTGACATTATTTCATTGAAACCTGTTATAAACTTCACAAGGTTTTACTTTATTTCCTTTTATTTCCCCTGTGCATTCTGCAGGGCCTGGACTAGAAGCTGACTTTTCTAACTGCAGACCTTCATTATGGACTGGGCGCTCTGCAGATCAGGTGGAGCTGATATTGAGGGAAAATGTTATAGGAGTTTGGGTCCAGTGGGAGACAACCTGATACTTTGTAAGTTTGGTGACCGTACATCCACTATTCTGCTGACCCTGTATTTCTGCTGGAAATATATCTGACCAAGTAGTTTTATTCTCTGTGTGGTCTGGTGGCATTTTTATTTTAGCAGTAATGGGTGCCCTCACAAATTTTCTGGTAAGAAATTTAGCATGATTCCGGGTTAATTGTTGAATCCAGCACAGGCGGAGTTGAGAAAGGATACAGATTTTGGCTTATAAGAGACTGCATTATTAATTGAAAGTACTTTCTGGCTGAGAAATCCATTGAAATGTTGGAGGGGAAGAAAATAGCCTGATTTATTCCAATGAGAAGTGCTCCTTTATCTCACAGCCCCTTGAGCATTCATACTGACTTTAGAACTTGAAGCTGTAACACTAGCTCTCTCCTTTGTCTTAAGCAGGAAACATTAGCCACATTGAACGGGTGTCCTGGTTTTCAGGCATTAGGGGGAGAATGCAGGTTGATGCCTGGGTGGAGATCCTTTGTGGAATTGGGCATGGATGAAATGCTCTTCGCCTTCACTCTTGATCTTTTTCTTCCTTCTATTTGAACTTTCTGGTCCACTTGCAACCTTTTGGTTTTGTCTTTTCTTCCCCTTCTCTTTCTGCTTCTATCCATTTCATCCTCCAATTCCTTGAACAGCTCAAACTTTTTTGTTTTTTACTTTCTTGATTTCTCATGTGTCTCATTGTCATCGCTAATACCATTTACTTCACTATCTCCTGTTTTACACTTTTTAAAGATTCTATTCACTCTGTTTCTTTTCCAATCCCATTCTTTTGCAGTGAATTTTTCAAACAATATTCATTTGTGATTTCTTCCAATTCTTACCTGAACCATTAACTCACGTGATCTCTCTTGATGCTGCCTGATCAGTTGATGGGTAGTTTCCCAAATGCCTCCCTCTGTGAAGAGCAACTTCCTGATATCTGTCCTAAAGCTGCGTGCTACTCCTTCAAAATTGTACCACATTTTCTCAACTTCCAGTATTCTGGATGGATTTTATCCCTGCGGCTCACTGTGTGTCCTTTTGAGTTATATACAGTATTGCCAAGTTGTTATTGAAGAAAATTATCTTCAGAACAGATTTAGTGTCCCAGGGAAACATTTTCCCCAGTACTAGCAATAGTTAAAAGAGATAAACTAGCCTTTCATCTCGTCTTTGTCTGCTGGACTTTAGGCAAATTGGCTGCTGCCATTATGTATGTAATCAGCAGTTTTCAAGTATAATTAATTGAATTTGAGATACTTTAGGAAGCCCTGGGGATGTGATACAGCTCTGAATAATTGTGAGTTTATTTCCTTAACTTTTTTTTTACAAAATGTTGGAAAGGTGGGGGTTGGGCTGAGTCATGAAAGACTTGGGTCCAATATTTTAATCTTTTCAATTCAACCTGACATTATCTGCTTTGCTTTTCTGTAAAGTACTTTAAAATGTTTAAATGGAGATATAACAACTGCAAAATAAATGTATAAATGA